AAAAAAAAAAAAAAATGAAAGCAGCAAACTTGGACAGTGGCTTGGCTCCATTTGCCTACCCCGACCTCCTCCCAAAGTTTATTTATCATAACAACCAACGCAGAAACATTAATGGGCATTTAAAAAAATTTTTAAATTCCTCATAATTAGAGGCCATAAAAAAAAAAAACAGCTGTTTTCATTTTCCTGTTTCTTCCTGTCTTTGTTGCCGTGAATACATATTTTATCTACTTGTCATCATAGTCAACGCACAATTTTGTGCTGGGCTGTTTTTAGTCACCAAAAACAATTCCCATATTTTATGAAGTTGTCGTAATTATCTTTAATTGCTGCAGAATACATCATCAAGAGGATGAGTTACTCATCAACATTCCTAACCACTGGGCGTGCACTCAGGGGGCCCGGTTTTCCAATCATTCTTCACTGTGCCGAAATGCATGCTGGAATGGCGCTTGGCCTTCCGCTGCAAGATGGCTGTGTGGGTGACCTTGAGTTCTGGGGGCATGTCTCACTCCTTCCTTCCTCTTCCTTCCTGTTTTTCTTTCTGTCTTTCTTGAAGTATGGTTGACACACAATGTCACATTAGTTTCAGGTGTAGGACACGGTTCCAGGACAACTCCATCAACTCTCTGTTACGCTATGCTCGACAGTGTACCTATCGTCAGCCTGACGTCCACAGTGTCTGGCACCTGGCAGACAATAAATATTGACTGGATTTGATTTGGCCAGATCTCTCTAGCTGGCGGTGTTGGGGCATAAGAGGGAGCTACTCAATTCAGAGGACTGAAAGCCATGGGGGGGGCGGGGGCAAACGTACCTCACACCTCACACTGACTGAGGCCTTCTATGCCCCAGGCCCTAGGCCTCCCAGGTTCAGGCAGTATAGCCTAGTGGGAAAGCGCACAGGCCCTGGAGCCAGACTGTTCAGGTTCTTTCCCTCCCAAGGCAGGGCAAGAATGTGTCTGTTTTGCAGAAGAAACAGCTCCCACCGAGGAGAGGTGTGGCCAGGGATTCCACTGGGTACCCTCTTCGGGAGCCACACCAAAAATCAGTGCCTGCCCAGAAGCCCCCCTCAGTTGCCCTAAATTTACCTTTAGCTCATCCTAATACTAAGATCTCCTCCTATGGGAGGGCTTGTCTGCCATTTTTTTTGAACTTACAAGGTCTGCACTAGCACGTTGACATGCTAAGCACGCACAGTTGAACCAAAGTGCCTAAGTAGCAGAAAATGTATGTTTCTTTCTTTTTTTTTTTTTTTAAGATTTTATTTATTCATTTGAGAGAGAGAGAAACAGCATGAGAGGGGAGAGGGTCAGAGGGAGAAGCAGGCTCCCCGCTGAGCCGGGAGCCCGATGTGGGGCTCGATCCCAGGACTCCAGGATCATGACCTGAGCCGAAGGCAGTCGCTTAACCAACTGAGCCACCCAGGCGCCCCAGAAAATGTATGTTTCTTAATGTATCCAGCTCTCTGTCCGTGCCCCCCTAGCACACCGCATAAAAGCTACCCGCACTAACCCCAAGGGGAGACAGTGCTTTGAGAGCGATCTCCCTGTCTCCTTACTTGTGACAAGGAGTGAAAGTTCTTTGCTTTCAACACTTCCTCTGGTCGTGTTCCATTTGCACCCCAAGCAGCCACCCACCTTGAGTTTGGTTACAGCAGCACTTCCTCGCAGACATGAGTCAGGAAGACAAACTGAGTGGGTCACTGGGCACCTGCCAAGTGCTGGGTGATTCCCATACCACCTCGCGTCTCCCAGCCCCAGCCACCAGCCCCGGTCCAGTGACTCCCACCAGCTTACAGAGAAGGAGGCAGAGCTTCCGGGTAGGTGACTTGGCCGAGGCCACACAGCACGTGACCGATTCAAGCCCAGGGCTCCCTGAGAGAAAATTCTGTGTTCTGGGGTTAAGCTTTCCCTGAAGAGGAGGGGTTCTTTGGCTCCGTCCTGCAGCCGTTTCTCCACGCCCACCAGGTGCGCAGTGGGGCTGGCTAGAGGCAGGGAGATGACCCAGTCCCAATCCTGGGGAAATCCATCCTCGGCCTTGTGAGCAAACTAAGGAAAAAGAACGTTCCAGGCCTGTAGAGCAGTGCCAGGCTGCTCGTATCAGAGGAAGGCTGTGCCCGCCTTCGTCAGCAGGCCACGGCGAAGGAAGCTGGCTGCGAGTCCAGCTCCACTCGTGGGACTCTGGGCCGTCAGCCCACCTCCCTGAGCTTTAGTTTTCTCATCCATAAAATGGGGAGAAAAACATTTACCTTATAGGGCAGTTGGGAGGATTTGAGATGATACATAAGAAAGTATTTGGCACAGTGCCTGGCTTGGAATAGAAATATATAGTAGTAGCTTGATCAAATGCCTTACATGCTTCCTCGATCAGTTTATCTGTAGACCTAACATGGGATGTAACAGGGGCTGGGAGTTTAGGAGACCGTTTCAGTGTCTCCTGCGTTTCTATGAGCTCCTATCAGCTGTGTGATGCCGGGAAAAATAAATAAATAACATGTCTATGACTGTTTAAAATTTTAACTGTTTTTTTACCATAAAAGTCTTAAATGCTCCCTGTAGAAATTTCAAATGATGCGTAAAGACAAAGGTGAAATGAAAACTCATTCATAATTCCAGCTCCCAGAGACAACAATGGATGGAATCTCTGTTTTTTCCTTCCAGTCCTTTGGTGATACATTATATACACACACCTACAATATCTCTAAAAACTAAAATTATCATATTATCTATGCAGATTTAGGCATTACTCGGAACATAAGTGGAAAAAGCATTTCCTCGTGAACTACCTACTTCCCGCAAGCACGGCCTTCGGTGCTGGGAAATACGTCACCATTCCCTCGAATCCCCTGTTGCTGGAGATTCAGGTTCCCAGGTTCTAGGACCTGATACTCCCTCCTGCCATCGTGGGTAGGACCAGTGCTTCCCTTACCATGTACAAGAGGAAAGGCCAGCTCACGAGGTGCCTGGTGATGTTCTCGCCCGTCATTTTCTCGTGACTGTTAGGTGCGAATGTCACCAGCAAGTAGGTGCCCACGATGGCCAGACCGCAGCCAACGAAGGACAAGACGTAGCGCCCTGCAGGGAAGGGGGGAGGCTGTCATAGGCTCACTTCGGGTGCTGGCTTCAGGCCCCTATGTGTTTCTAGGGCAACACACGATGACCTGCTATTTTTGGTTTTTCTTCACTTCACAAATAGATCATCTCCCTTATTGTTATTTAAAAAAATAACACTTAGGGGCTCCTGGGTGGCTCAGTGAGTTAAGCATCTGCCTTCGGCTCAGGTCATGACGCCAGGGTCCTGGGATCGAGTCCCACATCAGGCTCTTTGCACAGCGAGGAGCCTGCTTCTCGCTCTCCCTCTGCTGCTCCCCCTACTGGTACTCTCTCTGTCAAATAAATAAATAAAATCTTCTAAAAAAATAGAATTAAAAAATGACATTTAATGTTAAAAAATTTCAGTGAGGTGTGGCATGTAGAACAAAAAGTGCTCAATGAATTCTCACAGACTGAACACACCCATGTAACCAGCACCCAGATCAAGAAAGGGAACGTTAGCAGGACCCAACATCCTCACTTGTGTCCCCTTCCAATCACTAGATGCAGCCCCGGGGTAACGCTGACTTCCACCAGCACTGAGAGTCGGCCTGGTTTTGTACTTTCTATAAATGGACTCGTACTATATGATTTCTTGCGTCTGTGTTTACGTAAGATGATGTTTGTGAGTTTGTGAGATTCATCTGTATCCTGGTGTGGAGTGTAGGGGTGGTTCCTTCATTCTCATGCCCCTGTGGTGTGTGACACAATTTATCCATTCTGCTGCTGATGGGTCTTCAAATACTCTCCAGGGTTATAACGAATACTGTTGCTATGAGCATGTCATTTGGAAAACACACTGTCTGTATTTCTGTTGGGTATAATACTAGGAGTGGGAATTCCCGGGTCAGGGGATATGTGGACCTTCAGCTTTGTAGTTACTGTCAAATGGTTTTCCAAACTGGTTGCACCAATTTCTACTCCCACCAGGAGAGTATTAGAGTAAGACTGCCTCTTTTTTCTCCTTCAGTAGCCATTCTGCTACTGAACTACAGTTTCAGTGTACATTTTACAGGGAAGGTTTGAAAGTCAGAATCACTTTATGGGCAACATAAAAGAAAACCAAATGTAACAAAATCTCACAAGCAAACCTTCAGAGCCTACCATGTACCTTTTAAAAATGACCTTATCATTTCCCATCTGCTAGTTAACCTAGTCACAAGGGACCAGTCCAAATACTATCAATATTCTATTCCACAGACTTGTCAGAGACTGTTAGTAGGGCCTGGGAGTCTCCTGACTCTTCCCCTGGGTCCTGTCACACTCCAGTTGAACTATGTGGATTTCGTGAAAAGCCTCTCGAAGTCCAGCCCAGACCCAGGCAAGCTGGGAAGGGCTGTGAGTTCTGACCTACACGTGGTGATCCCAGGCCTCTGGATATTTCTGGATAGAACTATCTACATATTTCATTCCATTGTCTCCCAAAAATGTGATACCACATTAAATGTCTTTAATTTTCATTCTAGGCCTCATAAGGTGCCCCTCAATTTTTCAATGAATGAATGAGCCACGGTTAAACTCAATAATAAGTTCTCTGCTAAGACATACAAGTCTGTTGTCTTAAGTTTTCTTCAGGCAAGGAAAGGTCTTACTCATGTCCATGCCTGTGGTGTACAGCAGAGGTCTAGCATTGGGTGAATGTTTGCTGAATTTAATAAAACTTTAGGCAGGACAGCCATGCACAGTTGTATAAGTTGCTCACTGCATAAAAACACCTAGCTGAAGGGGTGAGGAGGGCTAAAATCTAGCCCATGCTCTGCTCACCAAGGCATGTGCCCACGGAACCACAGATGCCCAGAGGGGCCATCTTTTTAAAATTCACATAGGGCACTGCCTGGACTAGCATGTCTCCTATACCAGGACTTTCTAGAGTGAGCCTGGAAGTGACATAAAACTACACTGGTCTCAGAACCAGCCCAGCTACCCCTGCATCGCCCCCTCTGCCATCAGGACTACTGCAAATCACTCTGAGTCTTTTGGTCTTGGCATTGTATATTTGCTGAGCAGTAGCTCTGCTTTTTTCAGCGTAGGATTCTTTTCGTTTTTTCAGCCTCCTGGCTCCATCTTGCTTTTATCCTATAACAATGATTCAGAACAGTGGTTCCCAAACCTGGCTGCATGAGCAAGTTCCTCTGGCTGCATGCCTAAGCTGCATGCTCTAATCCAGCTTGCATAAGTAATAAAGAATAACTCCTGACCTCCATGTTTCCCATTTGCTTTAGAACTCATTTAGGTAAAGAGGGTGCCTTTCATCAGGCCTCCTAAAATCCCAACAATAAATGCTCAATAAATATTGATTGAATGGAATGAAATCAAGCCCCTTTTAAGAAATCTCACAGATCATTCTGTTGTGTAGCCAGATTTGGGAACTACTGAGGAAAAAACCCAGCTCTCAGGAGCTGATGAGGGTGGAATATACAACACGGAAGGGAGCAGGAGACGGATGATCTCTAAATTGGGGTGAGCTGGCTTTATTATGAACAAACAGCACAAGCACAGAATTAAGAACAGGGGCTCAAATCAGTGAACTTACTCAGAAAGTCTTTAGGTTTCCATTTTTCTTTGATGAATATGATTCCTATGATGGCGCTAGCTGTAAAAAAATAAAAGCACAGGGAAAAGAAAATTGAGGCTGCTATCAGTCTGATGGAGTCCCTTTGCCCAGGCCCTAGGGTAGGCTCATTTGCCTTAGGGCTTGGTACTTCCTAACCTCTCCCTTCTGCTCCCCAAAACTCAGTCCTTCTGGTTCCTCTGTTATTCCATCTCAGAAAAAGAGAGGCTCCTCTCTGAGCCTTCCTGAGGATTTCCTACAAGTCCAGGAGCACTGGTGTTGAGTACTTGCAGGGTGACAGGGGATTTGCACAAGTTCTTTCTGGCACATCTACCCGTCGAGGTGGGTGCCATCTGAAAAATGGGACACTGAGGCTAGGAGAGGTGAAGCAGTTGCTCAGGATTACGCAACTGGTAAGGGGTGCTGGAGCCCAGCTCTTACTCCTTCCATTGCTGTGACTACGTCTAACACTCTTCCCCTGGTTCTTCTCTCCTTCTCAAACTTCCTTGTCGCTGCCTGGAGGGATGGGGCTGGCATTACTATGAACAGACCTGGATGGCTATTCTCAGCTCTGCCTCTTCTGGCTGTGTGTCCTGGGGTGAGTCACTACCTGTGGGTCTCTGTCTGCATCCAGCTCAGGCCAGCTTGCTGCTTGTTAAATATTCAGGAAACCACCGTAGCGTGAGTGGCCACGGTGGTGGTCTTTACACCATATAAATGAGAAACACCACAAATGGGGTCTAAAATCCCAACAATAAATGCTCAATAAATATTGATTGAATGGAATGAAATCAAGCCCCTCACCCCTTTCTCCTTTCCCGCTTTTCTGTCCATTCCTTCCTTCCCCTCTCCCTCCCTCCCTTCCCCCCACTGCCTCATTCTCTTCTTTTTCTTCTCTCACTTTCTCCCTCTCTCTGAATGTTGGTTCATCAGCACACAACTGAAAGCACCTCCTTCTCTGAGTTATAAGGGCAATTAAATGAGATAATGCATGTAAATCATGTGTCCGCAGTAAATACTCAATAACTGAGCAATTATTACTACGGAAGTCCCTGGAATAGCGACTGATACTTAATAGGTACCCAACAAATAGTGGTGATTACTCTAATATTTATTTTTAATATTATTTTTTACTGGGTGACTTAAGAAGCTCTGAGAGCCCCTTAAATTTCTAGTGGCTGATACCTGAGAACCCATCATTCTACTTCAGTCTCTTATTTTTAAGCATTTGATTATGTGAATTACTAAAGTATTAAAATTTGGAGGCAAATATTTAAAGCACTTCGTCACTCGGTCACCTGTTTCTCATTGTGAGGAAAGGTTCTGAAGCCTTTTCAGAGGTCAGCCATGGGCAGAGGACGAACCTCAATCCCTGTCAGGGTGGCACACGTAGAAAGTGGGCCAGAGAAGACAAGGAAAGGCTGGGACTGGGGATGGTTACTTGCCTCAACTAAAGGCACTCAGATTATATTTTATTTTATTTATTTATTTTTTAAAAATTCTTTATTTAAATTCAACTTACCTAACATATACTGTACCAGGGGGTATGATTTAGTGACTCATCAGCTGCATATAACACCCAGTGCTCATTATATCACGGGCCCTCCTTCATGCCCATCGCCCAATTATCCCTTCCCCCTGGGCCCTCAACTCTATGGTCAGATTACATTTTAAAACAGTATTTGTGGAAAAGAACACAGTATGTTGGAGGACCTTACTCATCTTGTGGGCTGCGAGGGTACAAACCCTGGTCAAGAAAGAGAGGGACTCTTCACGGGATCGGGAAAAGCAATAGGTTTCCACTTCTTTGCCAGCTCCTGGTAACTGGGGGGACTGCCTGAAGCTCTGAGAATTCTAAGAAAGGGACGCTCTGACTGGCTGATGACGTCTGCTGTGGGCACAGGCGGGGCGCATGGTTGCTGTGCTTATCCATGGGGCAGAAGGGGCCCTCTTTACTCCAGGAGGAAAAAGACTACTCAAAATACCACTTTTTCCTTTAAGAGCAAGGAAGGGCTTCCAGGCCATGCGGGGCCTGCCAGCAAATGGAAGGAAACATTTCAACGCAAGTTCATGGTCCCTGCTCCTGTGTTCACTAATCTACTAACATCTTTTATTTAAGAAGAAAAGAATTTTTTTTCCTAATTCTACTTTTTTTTGTGGAACACGGACATCAAAGCTCCTTTGTCTTTTCTTTGGTTCAAATGTTCTGAGACACTGGTTCCGGGATTACAGAGATCACAGAGAAATGGCAGGTGAGAAAGTGACCAATGCCTCAGAGGTGGTGTCAGCTGATGTAAAAAGATCAGAGAATAAATTGAATGTGCATCTGTTAGAGGTGTAAGATACCTGAATCCTACGAAAGCTTAGGATGTCTTGACAGTGTTGGGATGAAAGCTGCAAGTTTGTATCTTCCTTCTGCAGGAGAACTAGAAAGCAACTCTGATAAAGTTTCTGAATCTAAAACGGATTAGGGAGCCAGACCATCCTGTACCCCAGCCCTGCCACCCTGGACCCCTATTTCCTCATCTGTAAAGTGGGGATCATGACAGTGTCACCCTCAAAAGGGAGAATTAGAAGAATTCGTATCTGTAAAGTGCTTAGCGCAGGGCCGGTGTGTATGAAGCCCTTTGTAAGCGTTAGTGACATTACCAAGCAGAAGCTGCTTCGTTTACCGAGTATGGCGGCGGCACAGGCGGGTGGGTCCCAGGGAGCGGTGGTGGGGGCCCCGGTCTTACCTATCACGGAGACTGCGCCAAGGGGCACGATCAGCGACAGCGGAGCGAAGGCGTAGGAGGCAAACACGCCCAGCTCACCCAGCAGCATCAGGAACAGGCCCAGCCACCACGTTTTGGTCTTGAAATAGGCCCGGGGGTCCTTGGATCCTGCCAGGCAGATGTGGCAGTACTTCTAGAAATCCGAGAAAGAAGGTGATTGGCCCAGAGGTTTGGGAAAAAGAGGCTATGATGTCTGTACCCTAAATCTACCCCCCACTTTTATTTGGGAAGGTGTGTCAGGTTTTTTTGGAGTCCTGGCTCAGAGAAGAGGCAAGCAGTCCCCATCTCAATACCAGGTTGTCATGCTAAGCAGTTCTCAAACTGACTGGGAAGCCTCAGACACTCCCCGGGCAGGCCTGGGGATGTGCATTTCTAACGCACAGCACAGGCAGGGTGCAGTCTGGTGGGAGTCGGGGTCTAGGACGCCACCCCATGGTCGCCTGGCTTCAGGTTGAACTTCTCACTCTAACTGCAGCGCCCAGAGTCGCCACGCTCGGGGCGGCTGCTTGGCCGCACTCCCTTCTGTAGACGAGCCGAGCCAGCAGCTCTGCTGGGCAGCCCGGGGGCATCCGTGGACCTTGCCCTCTCTCAGGTGGATAGTTGGCCCAAGTATGGCCCAAAGGCTTTGTTCTGGAAGTGTGCACTTGGGACACAGAAAGTGGGGCGGTGACCAAGGCGAGCAAGGCAGTCATGTTGACTTAGAGGGACCACAGCTCCCACTTGGGGGCGCTGTGCTGAGGGCTGCATAGGGGCGGATGCGGAGGCAGAGACGCCGCTCTGTGGGAAGAAGAGCATGAACCAGACAAGTGGCCAGGAGACCACGCGGCCTCAGAAACACACGGGCACACTCCGGCACATGGGCGTGCGTGGAGCTGAGATGTACCAGGTTACCCGTGTGTGTTCCCGTCTCTGATCCAGGGAGGGAGAGCGCTTCTCCGCAACCAGAAGCTGGGCAGTGCCGGCAGAGAGGAGTGGGACAGTGTGCTGTGGGATTTAACTCGTCCGCAGGTATCAAGTCTCAGTCCCGGTGTCCCAGAGCAGTCCCTGGGACCGGACTTGGAAGGAGGTAGTTGATTTGGGAGGTGATTCCAGGAGGCACAGTCAGGGTGTGGCAAAGTGAGTCAGAGAAGGGAGCAGACCAGTGGAGGGTGCAGAGGGAGTGCCCTGGGCAACAGGGGCTCATCCCACTGGGGACCCTCTGGGACACCCTGCGAACTAGGCTCAGAGCCATGTGACTAGAGGATGGAAGCCTGGGGCATTTATCTACAGACTCCCATCCCCCACTGGCTGAAAGCTGCCACAGGGGCAATAACCACCACATTCAGCTTCCCAGTTACATCTGCATACCCTGGGAACCAGTTCCTGCGGTGCCCTCAGGAGCTCCTCAGTCTATCAGCCTGCTCCAAACCACAGCTACAGGCTGGCTCAGCTGGGCCAAGGCACCCCAGCAACTTCTAAGTCAGGGACAGCGCTGTCATCAGAGTCAAGGAGGGTGGGGGGATCACGTGGGGGCAAAGAATCAAGAGAGATTCTGGAACAACCCACAAGGGACTGCCCAAGGCCCAGCCCAGGAATGGAGTAGGCAACATCCCATGGTGAGGACGCAGCGGGGCCTGCACCAGACACCCCGGCTGATCAGCAGTATCTCTGCCCCCGACAGTGCTAGTGACGAGACTTACCTGTAGGTTAAGCGCAATGCTGACCACAAGGTGCCCAAAAATTGCCAAAAGGGCGCCGATCAGGTTTTCCTGTAAGGAAAGTTCACAGGAGCAGATGTGAGCTGGGTCTAAGCTAAAGGGCCCTGGGGCGGGGGGGGGGGGGGGGCATAGGAAACCCCACTGTTCACTGTCGCAAAACAAAACCAGAAAAACATCCACCACAAAGCTGCATCCCAGGCCTTTTATTGGAGTTTTACATTTTACTACTCAAGGTTAGTGCGGCTGCCTTGTTGGTTTACAACACACTACCCTGAGCTGGACACTTCCAGAAAGCAATGTCCTCTGTCCACCGGTCACGATGACCTGATAAGGCCTAAATCTGCTCTGCTCTTTCCTTAATGTACTGACTCACTGCAGTCTTGTGCAGGAAAGCAACATTCAGAAATCAGAATTTAAAAGAGAAACACAGGCGGGGATACTATTTGCCATTTTATCAATGGGGTCTTCATGTTCCCCGAGGGGTCTCAATGAGAATCTTTAAACTGGCTAATCTGCTTAGGGCATTTTTAATGATTTCATTTACAAACATTTAACTTCTGAACCTTAAGAATAAGGTTCAGATTCTTTAGCATGGCATCTTCTTTTAACTTCAGAAGACAATTACCAGACATATATTCATTGTACAATAATTAGGAAATATAAAGAAATGATAGGAAGAATAATAATCACAACAAAATAGAAAAGTCACCTGTAATTCTAAACCCAGAGCTCACTATTGCAAACATTTTGTTCTTGTAAACTTTTATTGTTCTTGTAAAATTTTTTTCTGTCCATAAATTCAGATATGAATGACAATGTTAGTTCATTTTATAAAAATGAGATTATAATCTGTTTTATAACCTGTTCTTTTACACAAGGTATTATAAACACATTCTCCTTTCAGGTATATTTAATTCATCATTTTAAAAAAAGATTTGATTTATTTATTTGAAAGCAAGAGGGTGAGAGGGCATGAGTTGGGCGGGGAAGGGTAGAGGAGGAGGGAGAAGCAGACTCCCCCTGAGCAGGGAGCCTGACACGGAGCTCGATCCCAGGATCCTGAGATCATGACCTGAGCTGAAGTCAGACCCTTAACTGACTAAGCCACCTAGGGGCCCCTAGTTCATCATTTTTTTTTTTTTAAAGATTTTTTATTTATTTATCTGAGAGAGAGAATGGGAGACAGAGAGCATGAGAGGGGGAGGATCAGAGGGAGAAGCAGACTCCCCGCCGAGCAGGGAGCCCGATGCGGAACTCGATCCCGGGACTCCAGGATCATGACCTGAGCCAAAGGCAGTCGCTTAACCAACTGAGCCACCCAGGCGCCCCCCTAATTCATCATTTTTAATAAATACCAAATAACTTGTCATTTGGATGTGCCTTATTTTATATCATTGCTTCTCTATTGTTGGACACTTAGGCTGTTGTTTTTTTTTTTTTTAAACACCACTGTGATTGAATATCCAGGTACATGCATTTTTGCGCATTTATGAGGATTACTCCCTTGGGATAAATTCTTAGAAGGAGGACTGCTGGGTTAAAGGGTACTTGCCTCAGCATTTAAACCATACTATACTATGTCCCCCACATACCCTCCAGCATTATTTCACCACTAAACACCAAAGAATGTTCTATCTTAGCCAAATATGAATCCTCCCTGCCCAGGATGGGCCTTTTCCAACTCCCCCTTTGCTCGAGATATTCCTCCCACCCAGCTGCCCTCCCTGTGAAATCTGCCAGTTCTTCAAGGCCTGGGCCAGGCGCTAGCAAATCAAGAGTGAACAAGACAAACAGTCTTGCAATTCATCTGGAAGACAGGTAATTAGCAAGCGTAAGGCAGGAAGTCAACACTCTGACCCTCTACTCCCCTCTTCCCTGGAATGCTGAGGGCCTAGACAGCTAAGAAGGCAGTCCACTGTGGGTTAAGGTGGAAGGAGGGAGGGGGTGTCTACTGATGGAAACCACCATGGCTGTCCTTGACTTTGTCCCCAGCAAGAGGCAGCACTGCAGAATAAAGGAAAGATGCTGAGCTGGGAGCCAGGAGACCTGGGTTCTAGGTCCATCCTTGCTGCCTCGTCACAGCATGACCTTAGATGAGTCCCTTCCCTTCATCAGGCTTGTATGTCCCTGTCTGGAAAACGTAGATGCTGGCCCAGATAACCTCCAAGGGACCTTCCAGCCCTCACCTAAGCCCCTGGTCAGGGCCAGACTGTCAACAGAAAGCAAGTGAAGGACCAGGCCAGGCAGGAAACTGACTTATGTTCATTTCACTTTATACAACAACTCATTAAGAGAAGGTCAATGGGGGCATCTCATGGACCCAAGGGAGATGGCTTCCACTTCTTCCCAAGATGGCTCTCATAGCCTGAGCTGCACCTCCTTGGTCCTTCTCCATCTCTGTTTTATGTGTTTTTTGGGTTTTTTTTAAGATTTTATTTATTTATTTGACAGAGAAAGACATAGCGAGAGAGGGAACACAAGCAGGGGGAGGGGGAGAGGGAGAAGCAGGCTTTCCTGCTGAGCAGGGAGCCTGATGCGGGGCTCGATCCCAGGACCCTGGGATCATGACCTGAGTCGAAGGCAGACGCTTAACGACTGAGCCACCCAGGCGCCCTGTTTTATGTGTTTTTGTTGTCTCTTCTCAGACAGAATTAAGCAGAAACCATGTCTGTCCTGTAGGATTACAGGATCTCAGAGCTGAAAGGGTCACTGGAGATCAACCAGGCCAGGGTTTCCCTAACTGGGTTCTTAGAGATGTCAGTGGAGTTCTGACGCAAAAAGCACATCATAGTTAAATAAGTTTGGGAAACACTGGACCCTTGGTCCACTGCTTGGAGGCCCACAGCACACCAGATTAGAGGCTCTCACAGGCAGGTCTCCCTCGTCCACCCCAGGTGTTCCAAACCTCTGAGGCTCTAGAACTCTTAGTCTGCAGGCATCTGTGATGCTCACACCTGCCACCTTAACCACATTCCTTTTCTTTTGGTAATAGCACCCTGATTTTGCTGTGGAGCACTCCCCCATGCCCCCAACTCCCCCTTGTATGGTCTTGTTAGGACTCTCATTCCAAGTGCTCCATCCTCCCCTGGACCACGGTGGGCCTATGAAACAAGCTTGACCCAAGCCAGGCAGGTCAGAAACTCTGTCTGGGAGATATTTATATATATTTCTCTCTCCCTTATTTTTTTTTTTTAAGAGAGAGAGAGCATGCCAGTTGGGGGCGGGGAGGGGCAGAGGGAGAGGAAGAGAGAATCTTAAGCAGGCTCCACACTCAGCACTCAGCACTCAGCATGGAGCCCGATATGGGGCTCGATCTCACAACCCAAACAGAGATCATGACCTGGGCTGAAATCAGGAGTCAGACACTTCACTGACTGGGGTGCCCCTCTGGGGTCCAAATCTTGAACAGAGAAGCATGAAGGCTGAAAGAAGTCTGGGCTCATTGCTGCCCAAGGCCAGGACTGGGCAAGGCCAGGAGCCATCCTGGTGCCCATGACTTCCAGAAGCCTGCTTCTCTAGCTCTTCCTTCCATTCTGGGAGCAGTCCCAGTCTTTTTTGCTGAAGACCTGGTTTCTGTTACTTGCCTCACAGAGCCTGAGTCAATGCTTCACTGTACACGGTTTGGGAACATGTTTATAATTAGTCCAACTCCTAGTAAGGGAGGGAGTTGGGGGCATGGGAATGTATGTTCATTTCTTCTTCTTTCTCCTCTCAGAGGGATGGCTTTTGCAGACAAAAAAAGGCTATCTGCATGACTTTGATTTCTTAAAAAAATTATATTTGCTATAAATGTAACAGATTCATGAATCTAGTTTCCTTTAACAAAATCTTACTAAGGAACTAAGAAATTCTTATAAGTCTAATAAATTGCACTTACGAATATAAGGAATCTGATCTCTTAAACTGTCTAATGCTGTTTACATACAATAAATTCTGTTATTCCTTTCAATTTAAAAAGCAAATTACAGAACTTCTGCTTTCAGCAAGATGGAGTAGACTTACTTTTTCCTATGCTTCCTGCTGTGTACAATTGGAAACCTTGGACATTATATATAAAGCAAACACAAGACAACTCTGAAAGGTAGAGAGAAGAAGGCAGACAGGCTAGGTTGCTGGGGGCCTGAGGAACGACATGGTGGTGGGTTCCTGGGTCTTCTCTTTACCTCACATACCTCGAACTTGAAGCTGAAGAAATGGGCAACCTGGGAGTATCAATGAGTACAGACCAAAAAGCTCTAAGAAAAGCCTCTGCTCTCTAGTCAAAAGACCAGGAGATGAGCAGCCAGGCAAGACAGAAAACTTTAGGACAAGTGCTGTTTCAAACATCACAGGAAAAAAAAAAAGATACCCCACCCACTCCACGCCAGCATAAGCCAAGTAGGGGGCAGATTTCCAACCTTTCATGGCTATTACAAGGCACCTCAACTCACATGCTGGGACTATCAGAGAATGCCAAGGAGGGATCTGGGGTCCAGTGATGAGGCCTCCCTGCCCCCGGCCCCACAGAGTGAAAAGAGCCCACATGGGGAGCCTGGACCTCTACCCCTGGCTGGCAGCAATGAAACACCCTTCTCCTAACTGGGTGGTGTCAGTGGAGGCCTGGTGGAGAGGCAGGATTTTTTCCATTAACTTTCACAATTACACTGTCCTGAAGGTGGGGTTACCATTTGTAGTAAATTGCAGTGATGGCCGCCATTTCTCTCACAACTCCCGTCAACTCCCCAACACTTGAATCTGGATGGGTTTGTGATCAACAGCATGACATGGGGATGAGGGTGGGGGACTTCTGGGTTCAGGCTGTGTAACTTCTACTTTTGCACAGAAGGAAACTCAACCACATATAAAGAAGTCCAGCCTATCCATAAGAAGAGAGGGGCGCCTGTGAAAGACCAAACAGATATACAAGTGGGCCTGATCGACACCCAGAGAAGAGACAGGCCCAGCCATCTCAGCCAACTGCCAGCTGAGTAAGCCATCCCAGTTGAGGCTCCAGGCATGAGTAACTCCATCTCGGATTCTCCAGCTCCAGCCCCAGCCCAGCACCCGAGACA